TTGCGTTTCAGATTGTTGGCCAGACTCTGAGTACTTCTAAGGACAGGCAGCTTAGGACTTCATGAGGAAGCCCCATCTTTTTTCAGAAAGGTGGTAAAATTTTCTTCACAAAGATCTGCAAGATCTTTCCCTGTATTTCTTTTCACCTCTTTGATCCTATTCTCCATTCAACTAGATCTGGATCAGTTTCCACATAATTTTTAGGTTTTTGAAGATGGTTATTATGTTTCCTCTAAAGACAGATGAGAAAAAAACAACCAACCAACCTGTGTCATGGTCTCTGTATCTGCTGGACTACAAACTTCTGAGTGTCTCCAATTCTTTCAACTCCCACTTGTCTTCATTTCCTGAAGCTGCTATTATGAAGCAATCACTAAAAGAAAACATTGCATTTTTTCCGCAGTTCAGAAAAGTTCAGACTCAGGACTCTGGCTCCAAGGAAAGGCTCCTTCTCTGTTTGTTGGCTGAGGAAGTGGGGGTGGGGAAGATCATTGTCCTTTTCTAGCATTCCTCACCTCCTAGGAAGTCTTCCCATGGCACAGCATCTATCTTCCCTCCTTATGCTTGCTTTTCTCTGGTGGTGCCTTTGGGTAAGTGGTAGAATGCTACAAGGTCAGCAGTTCAAACCCAGAAGCAGACCTGCAGGAGGAAAATGAGCTTTGGTTTTAGTTCAGGAGCCCTGGGAGCATAGTGCATTGTGCATTAGGCTGCTAACTATAAGGACAGCAGTACCAGCCTGCTCTTCAGGCGAAAGCGGAGGCTTTTTACTCCCATAACAGTTTACAGTCTTGGAAATGCCCGGGGACAGTTCTGCGCTATCCTATAGGGTGGCTGTGTGTCAGAATCAACTTTATAGTCTCAGAAAACCTGTATGGGCTCACTGTGAGTTAGAATCAACTAAAGAGCATTGAGTTTTAGGGTGCACCTTATGTCACGCATGCATGACATAAGGACACAGCCTCCTCTGAAATGGGCTGGTTATGTACAGGTTAGGAGCCCAATGCATTTTTTTAATCTTGAAGGGGAGGGGAGCACTATTCAATCCATAACACTATTTAAATTGTGATTTCTGAGTCAAATTAGAAAAGTAATAGCATTTAGAATTAAAAACCCCATGCTCTAATTCCCTTAACATAATTTAGAGCAAGTTACTTCCAGGATTTCCCCCATTAGAATAAAGATAATTGCTACTTTACAAGGCAGATTGCCATCAAAATAATATGGGAAAGAACAGCCTAATATGATTCCATTTTTACAAAGTGTTAATGATTAGTACTGACATTTAAATAAGTATAACCATAGACTGTTAGTGCTCAGTTGTGCTATGTTAGGAGTTTGATTTGGGCAAATTATGTCTCTAAAACTCGGATGCGGCCAAGGTCTTGGAAACTCACAGGGGCACTTCTGTCCTATAAGGTTCATTTGAGTCAGAATCAGATCATGGCAACGAGGGAGGGAGTGAGTGAGGAAAATTAGTTGCTATGAGTTAGTTGTGTGAACTTAGCTGTAAAGTGAGGATGCTAATTGCTTTTCCTACACAGGATTGTGGATCTAAGACATGCAGAAGATTTAGCTCAGATATCATTGAACTCAGTAAATTACAGCTGCTTTTATAAAATTATGAACTATAGGGATAGTGTTTACTTCTTCAGATACAAATAAAAATTAGTCATCTATTAAGTAGTTTACACAATTGAACAAAAAATTCTGATATATATCTAGACTTTGAGTATTTTATTGACTTTGTGTATATTTATATACTTATAAGCAATATGTTTTTATCAGTGTATGAAATTCAGAGGGCATTGAAGTATATAAAATATGAGACAGTGCCCATTCAGCATGCCCTTCTATAATCCTACTATTCAGTTCTGTGAAAATAAAAGCATTTGGTATAAAATTTTAATACCCATTTAGTACATTCAGGTACATACCTATAACTTAATATAAAAATAATAAAACATACAAATGTACTTGACACAATGGATGTATGTATGGATTGTGAAAAGAGCTTTAAGAGCCCTCAATAAAATGATTGAAAAGAAAATCCCTCACATTGATGTTAGTGTTCATTGTTCAATGGCCTTTGAACATTCACATTAAAATTCAGATGTGAAAACTGAACCTCAAAGATCATTGGCTATGCAATAACCAGTTAAGTACTCAAATTCTAACCTAACAGTTAGTGGTTTAAACTCACCTAGAGGCTCCATGAAAGAGAGACCTGGTGACCTGCTCCCAGGAAGAATATCACCCTTGGGGGCAGTTTTGGAGAATCCCTGGTGGTGTAGTGGTTATGAATTAGGCTGTGACCTGCTAGTCAGCAGTGTGAAACCACCAGCTTCCCCTTCCGAGGACAGGGCTTGTGGTAGACAGGGTTCTCTAGAGAACAAACCAGAATGCTAATACTTTTATATATATTTATACAGATACATAGATATATAACATAAGAAATAGTTAATTAAATTATAAAGCAGTACAAATGGCTGTGCAACTCATTCCCGTAAGACAGTTGTGAGACACTGGCAGCCCTTCAAGTCTTGAGGGCCACCGGGTAGTCCTCTGTCGAGCAATTCAGGCTCTCTGGGCACAGGCAGCCAACAGCAAGGCAGGTCACCTACAGTCAGCCAGATGACAGGGTCCGACAGTCTCCAGCTCAAGAGATGTAAATTCCGATGGTGTGGCGAAGCAGGTCTTGAAGGAACCTCAAATTACAGCAACACAGTCCATGGGTTAGACATCCCACAGGTAGTGTAGCTTGCAAATTGAGGCACAGAGCAAGCAAGGCAGCCGCACACAGGTCCAATGATCAAAAAACGAGAGACCAGAAAGACTTCTCTCTCTGCCCTTCAATTAATCCGACATGTGGTTATCAGCCAGATTGGCACAATAAACTAACTACCTCAGGGCTTTCTACTTGTTTCAAGAGTTATTGTCACAGAAACTCACGACAGTTCTACCCTGTACTACTGGGTCACTATAAGTCAGCATCAACTGGATGGCAAGTGAGTTTGTTATTTGTGAGGGGAGACAGCCCCTAACACTATCATGGGTGCATAGGCACAACTGTACAGTTATGTAAGGATTATAGTAAAGTCAGAGAATAAGAGAGATAGGAGAGAGTACAATAAAGGAGTCAGACGCATTTCTTGGTACCATGCTTGACACAATGGAGGTATGTATGGACTGTGATAAGAATTATAAGCCCCCAATAAAATGATTTAAAAAAATGATAACAAAAGCCAATACATTCTTTTTCTTTTATTCATCACTGAGAATTTTACATACATTCTAAAATACCTCTTGCCCTTTTGTTTTCAAAGATAGTGGTTAGCAGACGGCTCCCCCACTCCCCAAATATTCTTGTCTTAATCCCAGGGACCTATTAGCATATTAGATTACACAGCAAAGAAGGGATTAAGTTGTCAGATGGAATTCAGATTTCTAATCAGCTGACTTTGAGATGGGAAATTATCATTAGTTGTCCAGGCAGACCCAATATTATTAAAATGGGAGGCATGGAGGAAATCAATGTGATATTAGAATTCACTCGTTGAGCTGTTACTGACTTTGAGGATGGAGGAAGGAGATGATGGGCTTAGGAATATGCATGATAACGGACAATTTAAACAATAAAATGTATTTTCTATCAAATGTTTGAGAGGGAAACAAGGCATACGGTTTATGAGGTATGACTCAGCAGTTGCATAGTTCTCTACTTTCTTTGCTTAAAATTAGATGTCTCACATCAATGACACGTGTTCATATTGGAATAACAAAAGTGAATTTTAGAAGACACATTTTGTAGTTAGATGTATTTTAACAAAAGAAATGACTAAATATAAAGATTGTAAAATAATATTAGTATCTGGGTTTGTTTTTTTAACTAGGCACATCATCTCTGCTCCAAGTAGCCACAACAAATATGCTGGAGAATCATTTCCTGGGATCTATGATGCTATGTTTGATATTGAAAATAAAGCAGACCCTCATTCTGCATGGAAAGAAGTAAGGAAACAAATATCTATTGCAGCCTTTGTAGTTCAAGCTGCAGCAGGGACGCTAACGGAAGTGCTGTAGCAAGGTCTCCAACAAGTGGCACTTTACAACATTGAAAGTGCTCTTGAAAATTTGATGACAAAATTCATCTTTTTTGGATAACTCATAAAGCCAGTGTTTGAAAATTTTCCTTTTTATGTCATCGTTTGATCTCAGACTTCTTACTGTTTATCTGCAAAGAGATTTTTGGCTCTTTAAAAAATGGATGAATAAATCACCAACTGTTAGTCTAACATAACACCAAAATATTCCAGACGTGGTAGAAAGAAATGAAAATACTAAAATAAAATATGGTGAGGAACTTGAGTTCTCAGATACTGCTTTTGAGAAGGTAAAATAGCACAACCACTTGGGGACATAGTTTTACACTTTCAAAAAAAGTTACTGTATAGACTTGAGTATAAGCCAACCCAAATATCTGTCAAGGCACCTAATTTTACCATAAAAACAGCATTAAAAATGTGCTGAAAAATTTGGCTTATATAGTTGAGTATATACGGTAAAAATTCATCTATTTTATGACCCAAATGAAAGCACAGCGACAAAAGACTTTTACACACATTAGTAACCACTCAAGAGGAAATAACCTAAATGCCTATCAACAGATTGTGGTATATTTATAAGGGACTACACTCAGCAACAGAAACTGTGAACACACTGATAATATTGGCAAACACTTTTGAGTAAAAAGTAACCAGATCAGAAAGGCACAGAATTTATGGTTGGCTTTATTTGAAATTCTAAAAGAGGCAAAAGTAACCTAGGTCTTAGAAGTAAGGTCACTGAGTGCCTGGACTACGTGGGGAAGAATGGATGGAATGCAGAGGAAAGAGGCATCTTGTGGAATGATGAAATCATTCCTTCTCATGATCTGGAATTGATTACATAGGTGTATACATTTGCTAAACCCTATCAAACTATACATGGTACATTTGATTAAAAAAAATGTCTGCCAAGTAACCCAGCACAACTCACATTTTCTTGCGAAATCACCATGAAATGGAAGAGTCAATTATACCCATACTTTGGCTAATGTCAGTTCTACTAAATACATAAGTCTGCCGGGGAAAAATGGCTACAACAAATTTTTAAACTCTTGTCATTAAAAAACCCCAGCCATGTACAGCGTCTTAAAGGCTTGGAGAAAAACAAATGGCCATCTAGCTCAGAAGCATTTACAAAGCCTACAAGGAAGAAGCACACCAGCCTGTGTGATCGCAAGGTGTCGATGGGATCAGGTATCAGGCATCTAAGACCCTGAATAAAACCACACCCAAGGTGAATGAGGGGGGCCATGGAGTGGAGACCCAATGCCCATTTGTAGACAATTGGACATGCCCTCACAGAGGGGTCACAGTCAAGGTACAGTATAGCACTGATGAACCACACAACTTTCCTCTAGTTCCTTGGTGCTTCCTTCCCCCACTATTGTGACCTCAATTCTACCTTACAAATCGAATTAGACCAGAATATGCACACTGCTACAGATAAGAGCCAGCAATACAGGGAATCCAGGATAAACCCCTCAGGGCCAACAAGGAGAGTAGAGATACCAGGATTAGGAGAGGGTGGAGAGATAAGGGGAGAACCATTCACAAGGATCAACCTAGAATCACCTCCCAGAGGGACAAATAATGGAAAAGTGGGTGAGGGGCGACAGAAGACATTGAAAGATATGGAAAAAATAATCTATAACTTATCAAGGATTCATGAGGGAGGGTGAGTGGGGGAGGGAGGGGGAAGAAATGGGGAGTGGAAATCAGGGACTCGTGGGAAGAGAATACTTTGAAAATGATAATGGTGCTATATGCAAATGTGCTTGACACACTG